TTAGGCATTCTATAGCATGCCAAATGCTATTTAGCAAAGTATGAAATAAACGTCCTGATGAGGTTATTATGATGTGCATGTTACTGTGAATGACCGAAATCGGTGGTTGTTGACTTTCACCGGTGAATGTTGACAATCACATAGTCGCTTTGGTGAATGTCCGAAATATTTATTACATCCCATTTGATATTAATTTATTCGTGGATATAATTACATTTATTCGATATTTTAATTCTTACTGACGATAGATTTGAAGACACATCAGTGTTTGGAGTATCGGGCAAATGTATACCGGACAGTGGCACTAGAGCTAGTATATATTTCAGACATTTACCAAAGGTCTAGTCATACTAGGTCTAGTTAAGTGCCATTGCCCGGTATACATTTGCCCGATACTCTAAACACTGCTGTTTCTTCTAATCTGTCGTCAGTAAATATTAAAGTATCGAATAAATGTAATCAGTAAGTATTAAAATATCGAATAAATGTAATTATACCCATGAATAAATTAATATCAAATCGGATGATGTTTTGAATGACATTTTGACGAATCGGAGATGCATTTCATACTTTGCCGGCTAATTTTAGGCATTCTATATAATGCCGGATTTCATACTTTGCCGGTAACATATATAAATAAATAAAATTAAAAAAATTGAATCAAGTTTTCATTTTTTATTTAAGAAATTGTCAAACAAGACAGCGTTATAATATTTATGCAAAATATAATAAAAATATTATAATTTTTCTGTCGAACAAATATTTTACAAGATATAGTTTCGTTTACATAATTAAAAATATTTTTATTTTTAGCTTTTTGTTAATTTAATATAAAATAAATTTTATGTAAGAAATTTGTGATGAATGTTTGAATATAGAATAATTAATGTAAAGCTTTACTATGAAGTGTAGTAGATAAATAGTGGATTTAATAATTAAATTTTCATTTGATTAACTTAAGTTTTTGATAGTATTGGTTAAAATATTTTTAATAGCTTTATTAAAAATATTTTAACAAAGAACTAAACACTAAATGAAAAATGTTTTAACTATCGGGGTTTAATTTATGATTATTCGATGAGAAGAAACATAATTTACGTGCAATGGGATCTACTTTAGTACAACTTCATAAATTTCTCGATATTCGGTATGAAATTGTATCTTACAATGTTGAAATGAAGATTCATAAAACGGCGCTGTTTTAAAACGCGGAAATTTTGTCACCATTGCTGAAAACTTTCAACTGTTACCAAAAAAGAAAAAAAATCTGCCTTTACAAATCCCCTAGTCTTTTACAAATTCCGGAGTGGAAGGAAAAAAAATCATTTTTACTCTTTTTCTTACCAACGCAAACGCGATTTAAAATTACATTCATGATCTAAAAATCACTCATCGCCATTCCTATTTACGCTATTTAAGATCGCGCATTGTGTTTCGTATTTACTAGATTTTATATCAAATACCGCGTTTCGTATTCACGCGATTTAAAAGCCACTATTAGGATTCGTGCTCAAGTGTTAAATTAAATATCGAAATTTAACTCAAAAATTATACATCGTATAATTCGTACTCAAGCGATTTGAAAATGAACTATCGAGATTCGTATTCACGCTATTTTAAAATCAAACATTAAGATTCGCAACGTAATTTTAGAATCAAACATAGAGATTCGTAATTTTAAAATTAAATGTCGGGATTCGTATTCGCGTGATTTAAAAATCACACATTGAGATTCATGCTCACACAATTAATATAAATAAAATCTCGCATCAGTATTTTTATTAAAACATTGATAAGATTCTGTGGATAAATGCCTCCTGCTCACACTTTTTTCTTGCTCGAATTTCAATTATTTAAAAAACGTTTTTGAAAATAGAATTTTTGGATTTCTATTTTCAGCTCTTTTGATTTTTTGCCAAACGTATCCATGCATTATGAATTAATAAAAAGTTATATAAAAATTAAAAAGAATCTGATTAACAAACAAATTTTGCCAAAACATGGTGGAGATGAAAGGGTTGAAACAAGTTACCATAATCAACCAATTGCTAATAATCAATCAATTGCTGGATTTACTGAGATTTTGTGTTCGCAGAAAATTTTTCATTTTATCCTAGTCTGGTTTTATTTATTAATTATTTATCTCATACAATTATAGCAAGTTTTTTTTCCACCTCCACCAGCTTAAACCCAGAGTGCTGAATAGTGTTTTTTTTTCCATACTTAGAGAAGTTATGAGTTTTCGGCAAGGTAGAATCGATTTGGACGTTTGGACTGCAACTTCTGAGAGTGGTGTAAGCATTCAGAAGTTTCCCTAGTAAGTTTCATCTCACAAACAACACATAGTCCAAAATTTAGATTTTTAACTGAGTGGGAGACTTGGTGATAAGTTACTGCTTTGCCTTTTAGATATACAGATACATTTCAAAAAGAATATTATATTTCTTATTATCTTTTGAAAAAAGACCACTTGTTTTTGAAGGTTAAGACAATCGATGAAGAAATTTGTTTCAATTCTCTGTTGAATCATTACTAAATCAATTTACAGATTCCATTTTTTTACCTAACCATGAAGTATTTATTTCTGGGACTAACATAAGAAAAGTATTGACTACAAAACTAACATAACTATATTAAGAATTTGAATGACACCAGAAAAATATAGAAAGATTTTTATTCAATATTATGGAAAAGAGCCGAAAGTTCTTAACATAGATTTTTAAAAAAGTTCCTAGTTGCACATAGAAAATTATATGTTTAAAACAGCAATGGACTGACTATTTACCCTTACAGTGGTCAGAAATAGTGCACTACAAGTAGTGAAACTACTGTAGTCGCTGTTTTTTTTTTTTTNTTTTTTTTTTTTTTTTTTTTTTTTTTTTTTTTTTTTTTTGTAGTGTAGAGTGATTCTTTTTTAATAAAAGTCGTGCTATAAAAAAAAATCTAATTCATAGCAAATCCAAACAACTACTTTTAACGTTAGTTTAGAAAAGAAACACTGTTCTAACTAATTTTTAGAATTTGATGGGTACAAATCTTCGCACGTCTGTCAATAGATGCAAATGACACTCTGGTTGCAGCTGAGTGCTAACAGAAATCTGGTATTTAAAATCATGAATATCTAATATTTAAACTAGCCATTATGAAAAATAGATAATTAATCATTTTGGTTACACTTTCACATGTGAATGGACATTTGTGAAACATTAATGTTATTTCGAAATGGAACATATTTTCGATCTACTTAATTTCTTAGAGGAAATAAAAGAGCATTAAACAATTTAAAAATTACAAGTAATTTGATAATTTTGCATTTCTTAAATTAAATATTCTCTTTCGAAAAAAGGCATCGAAAGTTGAAGATTAAATGAACAAATTCAAGAAAATGTTTTGGAACTGGCTCATGAATAAATATTTCCTAATTATTCCTTTATATTTAATCTAAGCCAATTTCTTATTAAAAAACATTTTGAACATAGGTGTAGCTTAAGTTCCAGCAAAGTTGGTCTACTCTTAAGTTGGTCTTAAGTTGATCAAAGTTGGTCTACTTTGGAATTGTAGTAACTACTTCACCACTTTAAAGTAGTGAAGTAGTTACTACAATTCCAAAGTAGTTTGCAGTCACTTCATTTAAAAAAAAAAAGTAATACCAGCTGCAGTTGACTAAATTTTTAACTAATTAGTTGTAGTAAACTACAAAAAAATATTAGTTTTTCTGACCACTGGCTATTTACTGCAAACATCTGACAATCACTAGATTTCCACATATGGATAAGCAACCTGTGGCCCTAGAAATGTCATTGTGGCCCCCACCCTAATTTTCTATAAAAAATTTATTATTCAAACTTACAAAATATACCATTAATAAAACCTACAATATTACATGCACACTTTGTAAATATCATAGATAATTTGCTGTACTTAGTCTAAAATATTTAAAACAATTCAATATCCTTATGCTACTTAACTTATGCCTTACAAATGATAATGTCCACACAAGTAGATAAAATAGAGTCATATTTTAAAAATTAGCATTAAATTAGATGGTATGTTCAGTATCAGAAATTTAATTAAGCTATTCTGTGGGAGTTCTTACATCATATGATAAAATACTTTCTAACAAACATTTTTTTTATAACTGTAATGAGCTTATATTAATTATTACTTAAGTTTTATTATATATGACTAATCCTAACTATTTATCAACTTTTAAATAATGACCTCTATGCTGATTACAATAACTGAGGGAAAATCTCACTATGAAAAAAAATCTGTTTTTTGAAATGAATTCATTAAAAGTCTCTCAACATCAGAGTTATTAAAAAGTTTGTAAATGCATTAAAATTATTCATTGATTTGAACAATTTTTCATCTAGGTGGAAATATCCAGCTAATGTAGCAATTTCTTTAAAAAAAGATTAATAATTTTTTAAATATTTGTCTATTATTAAATATAATGGTGCTCACTTCATCTTGATGTATCACTAATATAATTTAAAATCAAGGCTTTGATTCATGTTTTAAAGTACATAAAAATGTGGGGTTTTTTTTCCTTCTCAAAAGAACTTTAAAATAAGTCCAGTACTAAAAATTAAAGATGGACCATAGGTCCAAAAACCACTAAAAAATAGTTTCATTTGTGTTTTTGTCTCAGAATAGCATATATCATAATAATTTTAACAATACAAATTTTTGCAATGTAATCCCTTCTCTAGATTCATCTTATAAACTTTTCAAGAATTTAATAGACATGTAAACAAACCAGTGAATATATGCACAGAGTAGTAATATCTTAACTAATTAGTACCTCATAAGAGGTTAAATGTTCGGAGTTCTACAGCCTGTCTTCTATTTTCTGAACTCAAAATTATTAAGTTTTCAAATAAATAAACAAAATAATAAGAGATATATCCAGTATTTCATTAAAATAAAAATTATACATTTCACTTAGAAATTTAATAATAAAGATAACAGTATAAGAAAATTTATAATTGACTTACGCCTTATTCTTCAAATGAATTTCTGACATATTCTTTCGTAAAAATTCCAAATAGTGTGTGAAAATTCAGCTTAGTAAAGTTTTTCTCTTAATTCGGTTTATCAATAAAAATTTTAAAATATAGCTATGATTTTTTTCCTGCACAAAAAAAAAATCAAGCATGCAAAAGCCGATGAGTAAAGTCGATAAACGGCAGCAAACGATAAATAAAAACATGCACTCACAAATCACAAATAAATAACTAGATAAGCTAACAGACAACTGAAGACTTTCACTTTGGCTTTGGCGCTTGCTACTGATAATTTGGCGCAAAACTTCGCCAAGTACAAACCATCATTTACAAAATAAAAGGTTATGAAATACAGTCCAATTTCATAAAACTAAACTGGAATACATTAAATTCCTTCTAACCTAATAGAACAAAAAATTTTGCATAATCTTTAACACTTTTGAAAGAAAGAAAAGAAGAAATTAAATTATTCACAATATTTACAATTGACGGAAGATTCGCTGATTCGCCAAACGTAGAAACTTAGTTGTTGCCAACCCTCATTCAAAAGATTTCCAGCTGTTCCTGCTTGTAACCAAAGCACTTGTAATAACTATGAAATATGAAAATAAACTTCTACTTCTACTTAGTATTTTTCTCGGAAGTTGAAGATATTTGTAGCCCCTAAATTTCAATTTTGTAACTTTCAATGACAATAATATATAATTTTGCAATTTTGTTGACGTTACAGGAATTAAATCTTTATGAGTTTTTGTAAAAAAAATTTCAGTGGCTTCAATGTTTTTAAATAATCATCTTTTGCACGAAAATATTTATAAATTTTATATTATTAATGTAATTTTCCAAGTTCGAAAGCTTGGTTGAAAAAAAATTTTGCGATATTAATAAAATAAATCGATAAATAAAGTGATTGTAATAAAATCTGCATGACCAATATTTCCTTGCTATTGTTTTTTTTTTACGATCTATAGATTTATTAGTAATGAAAATATTTTATTACTTATTCGCTACTAAAAAACTGGGAAAAAAGGTTAGAATACTGGTAATGACTGAAATGTGTTAGCTTTGTAATTCTTACTTTCGGGGGAAAAGAAAAATATGTTCTTTATTCTGCGATTATTTTTGTTTTAATACAGTTTCTATAATAATTTTCGTTGACAAGTACTAAGACAAAAACAAAATCAGTCGGATTGTATGCAAAAACCAAGTTTTATGTATTATTTTCTGGGTACGGGTGAGCATTAGTGGTGTCCACTATACAGCGTATCAAGGTTGCCTGATTTCTCACCCTTTTACACTTTTCCCCTCTCAATTATCCTGGTTCCACCACATCTGGCTTTTTTCCTACCGTAGTAATTAGATGTAATAAACTGACGCAAAAAAAGAACCAAGATTTAAAAAAAACATGGTAGCAGAGAGAGAAAAGGGGTGGAGAAATCGCTTACATTTAAGACGCTTATTCTTTTTGAAACGAATATAAATATAAAAATTTATTAAAAAAAAAACCCACCTATTAATATTATGACAAATTGTTTGTGTTTTGTATATAAAATTTTATTATATATTATTTTCTTTTTCATTCATTAAAGTTACATTAGCATTATTATTACGAATTATATTTTTTATTTACTTATTGATAGCAATAAAGGTCAGAATAAGTCAAATGTAGCTACAGTGTAATTGCTTCCCAACCTGTAGTACGCCAGATATGTAATAAATATGTGCAATGCTAATACATGTTTTTCCAAAAAAACACAATATGTATTTCTATTAAACTAGTAAAAAACAAACAATCCTTTTCAATGAGATGAAGTTTAGAGATAAATATTTGACAAGCAAGTATGGTCTAATCTAAAACAGAGTCCATAGCCAATTTTTTAAAAACAAAAAACATGTATTTTTCAAGCATTCAAAAAAAAAACTTTTCTTTTGAATACACAAGGGGGAATTTGTGTGTATCCAAAGTGTGTTTCTAATAAATGCATTTATATCGGATAATCATCCTGGTGATAGATGTTTGAAGGTGGATACAACATTCTACATGTACCTGTCTGGTACTGGGAGTGGGAGCACACCACAGTGGTGCAGTGACTTGAAGAGTACACCAAGGAGGAAGTGCACAGTTTATTTAATTTTTGGATGGGCGAAAGGAACAAAACTATGCGACATTCATCGTGAATCAGTGCAGGTCTCCGGAGAGAGTGTTACATCGCAGAAACAAGAGTTCTTGTGGTGAAACGCGTTTGCAAATGGTAGTAGTACTGTAACAGATGCTGACAGACCATCAACTTCTTTTACCAACACGAATGTGGCTATCATTGGTGCCTTGATTCATGATGACAGACGAGTAAGACTGTACAACAACAATGAATATCTCATATGGTTCAGTGAGCAGTATCGTTCATGGCCAACTAGGTTTCACAAAAGTTTGCGTTCTCTGGACGGAGGATAGCAATTTCCCTCACACATTATACAGACAAAGGAAATTCCTTCCTTGGCATCATTGCTGATGATGAAATGCCTGTGTCCCTATGAACATCTGATTACGAACCTCAGGGCATGACACAGAAACATCCATCGTTACCACAGGCCAATAAATGCAAGACAACAACATATGCCCAGAAAACAATGGCCACTGCTGTCTCAATGCTGATCTTGTTAAATTTCTCGAACAAGTTATAAACATTAGTGCAGACGTCTACTGTCAAACTATAGATGAGCGTGTTGTTGTTGCATCTAATCCCCAAGAGGTCCATCCAATTAGACCAAATTCATAAGTCCAAAAAGTCTAAAAACAGATGAGGTTTTGAAAAAACCTCGTCGATCTTAAAATCGATTCAGTTTAAATACAGGGGAAAGTGTTACAGTTTCCGTTGGCCAATAGTGATCTGGAACACCGGAACTAGAATACTGATTTAGCTCCATAGTTTCACCTGCTAGTATTAGCTGGGCATAATGGAATAACTTTCGTCTAGGGTGGCCCTACCAGGAGCTGAGCTCCCGACGTACTGCACCCATTGACACCCCCTCGCCACAGTCAGGCAGCTAGCAGGACTTGAAGGGGATAGATAAGCTTAAAGCAGGCATGCAGCAAAAACGGTGAGGAGGCACTTTCGGAGGGCGCTTTATTATAGCACAATAACGAACGCCTTAATACAACCATACACACACACTCCAGGGGTTCAAGCGGGAAATTCTCGACCATCCACATTATCGCCCTGATTTAGCCCCTTCAGATTACCATTTCATTGGCATCTTAAAGAAACACCTCCATAGGCAGCATACACTGCAAGAGTCACAATATGCTACACTTTTCTGGTTATAGATCCTGGCACAAGAGTTCTTTGAAAGGGGCATGAATAAGTTGAAATAAATGTTTAGACCACTTCTTCAAGCATAAGAGTTCTCTATGCATCGTATTTCTGTCCATTACACATTTACCTTACTCTATGATTTGGTTCAGTATTTCTTGTAAATAAAAATTTTGAAATGAAAATACAATAATTATTTAAATTAAACATTTCTGCCAGAAGTAAAAGTATATAGTGCTGATATTTATGTTATTTAACAAATCTAATTATTGAATTGAATTTTTAAATTCAATTTTTTTAATCAAATAAAAAATAAATTATATTATTTCGAATTGACAAATCTGAATCACATCACATTTCTTACTGCTTTTGTTAAAAATAATCTTCAATTCATGCTTATTTAGCAATTAAAAAAAAATTTTTTTCTTTAAAAATACTAAAATTTTTAATTACAAATCCAGTAAAAAAAATATAGTATAAAAAAAATTCTGAAATATTTTATAAAGTTAGAAAACAGCTCCTTGTGCACACACAAACCGTGGTTCAAAAGTTTCAATTACTATCTTTATTAAATAAAATGAATAAAAGGGAGACAAAAAATTTAAATTTGTGAAGCTAATTGTTAAACTGCTCTGGATCCCTATGAAAATGCTTAATTAGTGAATGATTTGGTACTGATATGTAAACAGAACACAGTGACATCAGCTTGCTTGTGACAAAAACTGATGCTTCACCAGCAGAAAGAAAAAACAAGACAGAAAAATAACGTTTCCTTTAAAAAATTGGGAAATACATATGACAATGTTTGATTGGTCCCCTTATTCAGAAAAATTCGAGATTTTTTTATTCCATTTCTTAAAGTGGGATATGAAGCCTAAAATCTGGAATATCTCAAAAAATATAGCAACAATGCATTTGTAAGAGCAAGAATCCTTCTCACTGAATATAGTTTAGTTTACATGCATGAGAAACTGCAAGCAATTCATCCAACTCGTAAAATGATCGGTGCTGTTCTGTTCTAAACAACCTGTTTGAATAAATTGTGAAAACTTCGATCAGAACATTGTGAAAAACATGTTTTTGACACGGTAAAGACAACTATCATTTTTGAAAAAAAGAAAAACAAGCACTTTTTACAGACACCCAATAGAAAAACATCTTTTAGGGTTTTTAAAGAATGAAAATCAAAAGTAGGTACTTTTTAAAAATGCTATTCACCCTGCAAAAGAATATCTAGAGATACTTTGCTTCGGCTCTAATGTCCATGGCATTCCTTCATTTTTAAAATTTATGAAATTTTTCCTGTTGAACTCTTTAAAAAATTTATTTAGGCACCTTTAAATATGTTCAAACAAAATTCATAGAAAACTCCATCATACATACTAAAAATATTTTATTAGCATTAAATATAATGAAATATTACAAATAATAAATACTACAGAGAAGGAACAATAACTCTGCTCATGATATGATGTAAGATAAAATCAGCTCAAATGAAATGGAAGCACAAATGGTATTTACAGAGTAACAGTATCTGCAACACAATCAGGGTACATTTTCATACACACTCAACAATATATAGTTATTGAAAACATCCAAATAAATAATTACAAATAACACGTCTGAAAGGCTATAGCATTTGAGCAGTACAGTTGTTTAAGACACTAATTATTATTTTGGTCAAGAGTTAATTAACAGATTTAGCGAGTGTATTTTATTTATTACTAAAAAAGTTAATACAGGCACAAATTGTAGTTTCTAACCTTTTTAGTGATTGGAACAGAAAAATATATATATATTGCTACACATTTGATAAGGCATATATTTTGGCACTTAGTGACAATTCAATTATGTCTTTTTTAGAGTTTTAAGAAAACTGTGTAAACTTTCTAGAATATTATAAACATCTACTTATCAATTGTAAAGCAAACTAGAGCCCAATTGGGAAAAGCCAAGTAGAGTGAGTGTTAGAGCATATCTACAATAATAAATAGACGATCCAAGTTCATGAAAAACTGTCCCCACTTTCACTCAAAGAATTCGATAGATCATTCATTTTAATACTTGCTCCTTTCATTAAATTTGAGAGATCTGAATCAATAGAATTGCTTTCATCGTAATCATTTTCACTTTCAGAGAAGGTTATATACTTGACAGGATACAACTCATCTTCACCTAGGAGTGTAAAAAAAATCAAAATTAGTCACAAAATATTTTTGTGATATCTTTTATGTTTTGGACTACATATTTCTCAAAAATATTCAACTGGGTATGTATTGGACTAAAAAGGTCTTTTTTCTCCATTAGCAACATAAAAAATGTGTAGGGAATTCAGATTATTTCATGATACCAAGGATCCATCGAGTTTCAACTTCTATTGTTTGTATATCTGTTAGTGTTTTGTTTCTCAATCATCTGGATAAGAGATGGAGATTTCTTCAGGGCGAAAAAGTTTTTTATATTTGTATTTTTTCATTTTCACTAGGCAAAGATTAACTAATAGATATATTATTGCAATAAATAATTATAAATATAAATTAAAAGTTTATACAAAGGACATAGTTTTATAGATAATTATAATTAATTTATAGATGAAGCGTAGTTATTAGAAAATTGTTAATTTCAAGAACAATAAATTATTCACTTTGAAAGTCATCAGCTACTTACATTAATGCCAATATAAAGATTCATTATTTTCAAAGTTTGCATGTTTTATCTAAGTTTTGTCTGAAAAAATGCATTATTTCCAAATAATTCAAGTTCTCCTCTGGAGGCTCCTTTTATAAGTTTTGAAGAAGAAAAAAAAACAGACTGTAATATTTACACTGTTTTAAACTATTTCTTAAAATGGAAAATTGTATTTGTCAAAGAAAAAAATTTAACAATATAATAAAGTGTAATAAGTTTATTTAAAAAAAGATTAAATTTATTATAAATTTTTTCCAACATACCAAAGTATTATAAAATACTTTATGATGTATAGCTATCACAAAGCAAATCAACAATTTTAAATTTTTATTTAGATGAGAAAAAAAAAACACAGAATTTAATTTATTTTTTGTAAACTTTAGATTCAAAGCAAACCTTCTATTAATGAGTTTTATTAACTTTTTTCCAAAGGCTATTTTTAAAATTAAATAATAAGAAAGAGAAAACATACAATTTAATGTTATTTAAGAAATGTTAATTTACTCACTAGCAGTAACAACTTCAGAAAATTTGTAATCTGCAATTAATATGGGTTGATTAATCCAAGGGTGATTCTCAAGTACAGACAAAGTGCACCTTTTCTTTGGATCAGGTTCCAACAAGTGTTTTATTAAACCAGATAAACCTAATAATGAAAATACATTATTTACAAAAACCATTAATTTCATTTTAGGCATAATAAACAAACTCAGCATCTAGATGGAAGATACGCAATAACTACATGTTCTGCTTTCCAATATCAAAGAAATCTTGATAATATAACAGGGTTGCTACAGAAAAAATGGGCCCTAATACTAAACCCTGGATGGTGGTTCAAACACAGGATATTATAGTATTGCGTTATATATGGAACAACAACACCCATGCCTCCTGTGAGTTCTTAAAAATAAATTTAATTAAGTTAATTTATTAAGCCTCTGTGATAGAGGATCAAAGAAATTTGCATTAAAAAACATTAATGAATTGAAAGAAGTTATGAAACACTATTCCAATACACTTCTTAAACAAGAATAAACAATCAGAAATCCACCCACAATTCTATCAGTTATGGAGGAATCTAGCAACCAAATACCCCTTTCCAATTAAAAGTTTAATGGCATGCTACGGTTCAGTGAAATTTGGCACCATGCCAAATGGGCGAAAACGAAACTTTTGCGTAGAAAATGCATTCTACGGGAAATATTGGTGCTAAAATGGTATACTTGTTTCTCAAACTTGAGTACATGATTTTAAGGTACTAAGGCACCTTTCAAGCGGAAAAAAAACTTTAAAAACCTTGTAAAGCTTAACTTTCAAAATCTAACTTTTTTAAGCCTAATTTTATTCTACCATCATAGAATAAAATGTAACTCAAGATAAAAATATTCATTACTTTCAGAGATTTCACGGTCAACAGTGTATTCTCCTTTTAAAATTTCATCCGCACCAACAAATGGATTTTGTCCAAGAACTAAGGTAAAAAGTGTGACACCCAGTGAAAACATTTCTAACTCAGGACCACGATACCTGGAACAAATAAAAGTATTATTATAATACAACATAAGTTTTATGTAAAACTATAAACACAATGTAATAAAATAAAGTTTTAAAATTCTGTGGGTTTCAAATAGACTAAAACAGAGAAAATAAATTTCATTTTTGTTAGTATTGAGAAAAAAATATGCAAACACGAAGAGGCATCACTTTTGAAAGACATAGGAAGGGATTTTCAGTTGTGATAGGATTTTCTAACAAAAGTGATACATCCTACGTTTTTAGTTTTAGGTGCAACAAAAATAAATTTATTTTCCTCCCTAAAAACTTATTAAAAACAAGGTATTTGGTTTTTCCTTTCTTTTTTAATTTGATGATTTTCTTCTTTATGGTTTTGTGTTTATTGAACTATTATGTCAAAACGTATTTGAAATTTAAACTGATAATAAATTTAATTTGACAATTAATAAGTTCTCCTTTTATGTGTCAGATAATGACTAAAATTTTTGTCTTCAGGCATTCTAATTAATTGGAAAGTAGTTAGAATTTTGACTGATGATGAATTCTATTAGGGCCAGTAAATAATGATAAATGCTGCACATAACTGTCAGGAGATTATTGAAGCTTGAATTGCCATTAGACACAGAGCTCTTGTAAAGATTTGAGTTCTCTAGCAAATTGGGAAGTGGTGAAAATTTTCAGACTCCAAACACAAGGGCACAGAAGTGAGTTTATACATATGTTGTAAAAAATTTGTTTCAAAAAGAAAAGGTATTAAAATTCTAATTTTATAATAGTGCAAAATTATTTAACTGCAAAGAGGAAATTCAGATGATAAAATAATTACTTACTTTTCTCCCTTCAAGACCTCAGGACTACAATATTCAGTTGTACCGCAAAATACACTGAATAGATCATCTCCCATAAATGCTGCTGAACCAAAGTCAATAAGTTTGACATTGAATTTTTCATCAATAATTGCATTTTCATCCTTTATATCTCTATGCAAAATGTTTAGATCATGTAAGTAGCTGACAGCAGACACCATCTAGATCAGATATAAATATTAATTATTCATTTAAGATGAAACAACATTTTAAAGTCTACAGAATTTTTTACAAAATTTTTTTATAATTAAAATTATAAATGATTTAAATGTTGGATGGGCGCATATCCTCTTAGTGTTCAAAAAATGCTCTTTGACTTGTCTACGGTATAAAATAAATTTTAAAAACTTATTTTTGCCTTTTCAGCTTTTATGTTCAGAGAAGTTTTTATGCGATATGATTCATCATAAGAAACAGTTTTAATGCCTAATAATAGACTGAGAATCCAGGATAAGTGTCCAGGTCCAGAAAGGCAAATTTAAGATATTTTGCAACTTGATCAGTGGCTAGTTGTAGCATTTTCCACAGAGGCCACTTTTTTCCAAAATATGAAACATTTAAAGATTACATACATTATAAAAAAAAACTGTTTATATTTATAATGTATGGCAATTTTTAAAATGTGGTAAATATTACATGGTTAATTTCTAAAAGGAAGGAAAAATTATAAGAAACAAGTGTGGAATAAAGTAAATTTCAGAATGTTATAGAACATTCATAATAATTCCATATTTGTTAATTAATAATAATAATAAATGGATAACTTTTTCCACAGCAAATGTGGCGACTGGTAGACAAATGTTTTAGTTGTCCTTTATTGTCTTTTAGTTGCCCTATGGCTGGTGGTGACTATTTATTTTAACCTATAGACATCAGAATAGGCAGAGTAGTCATCCTGAACTATCTTCATGAATTAGCTTCTTACTGAATTAAATTGACTTTCGACTTTCTGAATCAAATTTACTTTCAACTTTCTGAATCAAACCAGATGGGTTTTTGGTAGAGGAAACCTCTACCTTTCTTAAGAGGAATTCAAGATTTTAATCAACAATTTTTAATTATGCATTTTTTTAATCTGGAAGTCACTTTTCTACAAGATCAGTTTTTAAAAAAAACAGCACTCACAGTTTCAAGGGACCACACAAATGTTACATAATACCTTCATCACTTTTAGTGAGATGTAACAGAACTTAGTTTATAATATAAAAATTTAAACAAATAAATAATAACACATAAATAATTAAGAATCATACCTGTCTAAATATGTAACTTGCCAGTGCTTCATCCATTTTTGGATTACGTTCAATAAATTCAAATAAATCCATCCCACTACCATGTTTCTCCATAATCATATGAAAGCACTGGTCATTTTCAAAAACATCAACAACCTATATAATTAGAAATAGAACATATAGAATAAAAGCATTCGTACATTAAAATTAATAGTACAATATTAAAGCTACTTCTCTTAGAAACATTTTTTAAAAAATAAAGCTTGTCTCTATTAAAATAATGTAAGAAAATGCCCTTAAAAAAACACAATGTTGACTCTCTTAAAACAACTTTAATAGTTAGCAACAGATCATTCTACAAAATAATAGTTAACTTATAACAGGCAATAAGCTAACAAAACAATAAATAAAATTTTTTCTAGAATAGGAGTCAGTACCTGATTTATCATAACGCCACCTCACATGCCTTATCCCTTCAACCCCAATCAGAGCCAGATTTAGAGCTGACCACTGAGGTCCTAAATCATGCTTTGTTAGGAACCATAACATGACCAAAATTTCAGTATTTAACTTATACATCAGGCATATTTTGGAGTACAAGGGCACAGTTTGATTAATTTTTTTTTAAAAAATTAGCTCTTCCTCAGTTACCTATGCATGAAAAACATGACTTGTGATGGGCATGATCTTGGGGTATGTGCTGACTGACTTATGATGAAAAGAGGCACAAAATGACGAAAATAGAAAACAAACCTATCACAAGCGCTGAGTTTAAAACGAAATTTTTTATTCCCTTACTGATACAGCAATAGTTTGTTCTGTGAAAAAAAAAAGGGTTTCTGTTTCTCCAAAAAACCCTTTTTTTTATTTGATACAAGATTTGGATTTCTCTTTTTAAATAAATAAAAAAAACGAGTTCTTTTTTCCCTTTCAAATTTCTTTTCTACTAAAAGTAATTTTTTCAAAAAAATCCCAGAGGTTCTTTTAAATTAGGGATATCAGGACAAAGTGCGAAAAATCAAGACAATATTAATATGATAATGGATAACCACTGATAATATAAACTATTCTTGATAGTGCATAACACTTTTATTACAAAGGCTTTAAATAGAACATGAGTTGATTTACAGGCTAATTATTCATATATTTTTTATTTAGGTGCTTCATTCAATAGCTTATTTAGAGTCAAATTATGCATTTGAAAAAGAAAAAAAACACATTTGGCACACTTAAAAGAAGTTATATGGCTAAATTTGAGCAAGAGAGTTATCTACTTTATCTTACAAACTCATTTTTCCCCTTGCTATACCCAAAAATAGTAACAAAGTCATGAAATGTAACGTGCATATTTATAGCCTTAAATAATTAAAGTTACAGATAAAGAATATTTATGACACATGTCAATTATTTGTTTGATGCAGTTATTTCATTTTGTTTCTTTATTCAATTTTTTAAAAGATTATAACCCATAAACAGATAAATAGATATTAAAAATAAAACCAATCAGAACAAATATTATTCCCTTTAATTCATTGAGAATTTGGAAATAAGTCATTTCACCAGTTATTTTTTCTGCAAAAAAAGTTTCAATCCCTTATTATTCAACAAGAGAGTTAAAAAGAAATTTCTATACAAACTACATCAAATGTGAAATGCTCCATTGATTATTAGATTGATTTTCTCAGATTAAGAAATAAATTCTGGTCTAGAGAGGCAATAGAAAAGATCTTTTGTTGACTGAGATGCACACTCACGTATTTAATAGATGAGGTTATTGTGTTTTGCTAAATCTTCAGTTAGTTCATCAAATTTTTCTTTTTAAGCTATTTGAGATTATTATTTAGATTTAACTATATTTGAATAATAGGCTAATAAAAAATAGTATTTATTCAAACAGAGCCAAAACTATAAAAGTAATGCTACAAAAATAAAATTTATTTAAACAATATAATATTCATAAAAAAGCAATGACAATGTCAAGATAGAAAGATAAATAATTTTAACTTACTTTTACAATATTTGGGTGCTCAATAGTTGTAAGAAGACTTATTTCCAGGGGAACTCTTTTATTCAGTTTATTATCAAAAACCCATGCATCCTTGTACACTTCAGATTTTCTTATGAACTTTGCAATAACCTAAAAATATTTATTAAAAAATAGCTTTATCAAAAGTTTAATACAGCAAAACCTTCAATATCTTAACCTCTTTCATTTCAAAACCTTCATTAAATGCAGTAGTTTTTCTACGATTCCTTTTTTATAATTAGTCTAGCTTCTTCTCTATATTCCCTACCTATTGTACGAGCATACTGTGCACAAAAAAAGGAACAAACTGAATTACTTTTGATCTAATGATCACCCTAATAGTTATAAAAATAATAATCCTAATAGTTCATGGGAGTGACCCCAAATATGCTAACTAATTAGTGCAGCCAATATTATAAGTTACATAATCAGGCACAGAAAAACAAACTTTGAAAGAGTATAACATACTAAAAAATTTAACACAATAAGTTTAATTTAGCAACAATTGTTAAAAATTTAAAAGTCGTAAAAAATTTATTAATTATTTAATTAATTTTATTTATATTAACACAAACATATCATTTACTTATTTCTGAAAATATTTTTAAGGAACTTGAAAATTAAAAAATTTAAAAAAAAATATAAATTAAATATAAAAAAACTACAGTAGGGAACCGATTATCCGGAACGATCGGGACCATCCCTATTCCGGATAACTGATTTTTCCGGTTTTCTGAATCGCTACAAAAAGCCGTTTTTTTATTGTTAAACCCAACTAAAAAAATTTTTTTGGGGGGAAATAATCTTAAAAAGAAGAAAAAACGATGAAGTAATACACTAATGATTATTTCCAAAATGATGGTAATGTTACGGTGGTTTACAGACACAAAACTACTACTATTAATTATAACCAGTGATCGTTTATTTTATGCATATATTGTCGAATTAATTTACATACCTCAACTATTTAAAATACTTAAATTAACAATGCTCTAATCAAATACAAATTTAAAAAACAAATTAAATTAATTAAAAGGCTTTGATTGGTAACAAATAAACTAATTGGCATGGAGAGAACTTACCCATACTGATGTTCATATTGGAAGTTGGTGAACCTCAAAATGACTCGGTTCTACTCTCTCTACTTCTTCTGCTACTGTTTTTGTTGATCTTTTATACTAAACTTTTTGCAAGATAAAACTATTGCTAAATTCTGGAAAGGTCACACAAGAGATCAAACTTGGACTATAGACTTCTGATTAACCCTTTCCGACACGTATTTCTTAACTTTAATCAAGAGAGTTTATTTGTATTTGCTTAAGTTCTATGTACTAATGGAAGTTTCCACAGTATTTTAAATCTAATCAATTATTTTGCAATTTACGATAAATCTATTTTAAATGTTTTATTGTGATTCTGAATTAAGTGACGATAAGCGTCACAGTAAGGTGAACATCTTTCAAAAAAGAAAGAAAAATCCTAAAATCTTATAAGGAAAAAAAAATTTTGTTTAAAAAATGGCGGGAAAATGTATCGAATTTCGTTCCGGTTTTTTGGTTTTCCGGTTTTCTGATTTCCGGATAACGGGTTCTGTACTGTATAAACGTAACATATATAGGCAACATAAAAATGACCTACCAAAAGCCCATCAATCTTTCTGTAAGCTTTTTTGATACATCCAAAAGCACCTTTTCCTAAATGCTGTACCACTGTATAATGTTCAGAAAAAGGGCCAGCAATGTAATCTTTCTCAAGTAGCATAGAGCTATTGACGGATGATCCACTTTCCTGTGCAATTTGAAACTCATTAGAAAATTATATATGGCTTAAACATTTAGATTCTATTTAATTTATTTAAACAAAGCATTACAAAAAGCTACAAAATATGCAAGACAAGGATGAAAATACTGTGTGAAAACCTTGAAGCAATAATGTGATATGGGTATTCGAAGTTAGTGAATAATTTTAGTGCTATCTCTGCAATCTTAATTTGCTTTAAAACAGTTCATTGCAACAATCGCTGCATCTTTGAAGAAAATTAGGGCAGGCAATAATTTTGTCTATTAAAAATTATAATTAGAAATTTAGTTAATTGCGTTTCCCCTAAAGTTTGCGCTAATTTTGAAGGAAAATTAAAACATATCCCTATTAAAATTTGAAACTTTTTTTCCTGTTAGTCAAGCAGAAAAAAATAAAACTTTTTTTATTATTTTTAGGTGTTGAAAAATAGACAACATAAAAATAATAGATGAAGTTTTTTAATTTTTGGTGATTTATCACTTGTGCTTGGCTAATCAAAAAGTAACTAAACTTTGTAAGAAAAATATTTATTAAAAAATATTAGCGATAAACTGTTCAACTATCATTAGGACAATTTATTCTAAAATCCTCAGTCAACTTTTTTTAAATTATTCAAAATAAATTTTTCCTAATAGTGATCTTACATATTTTTTTCAGCTTTGAAATGTTTTCGGTGATTTAAAAAAATAATTTTCGTTATCGTAGTTAAGTGTTATTACTTTTCAAGATATTTAAGAAAGAATTTTTATTCCTGTCTAAAAGTGAATAACTTTACAGCAGAGAGTTTTTTTTTTCTTCTGCAGAGTGATTTCACACTGTTGAAATTTTGTTTTCTAATCATAGAACTGTAGTTGTAATTTTTTTCACTCATTATGAGTAAATTCTTAAAAAAATATAAATATATTTGTGAAAGAAAATGGGGGGAAAATACTTATTCACATTTAAACATAGTTAATTAAACATAACTAAATTATTAGCTAAAACAAGTGTGTACCCACTTTAAGGTATTTCCAAGTGACATTTATAACATACAATCCATAATGAACCAACATAATAGTTTTAGAAAAATAAATTAAGAACTGAACCACTAGCAGTTTGTGTAAAAACTGGAATGCAATTTTTATATAATTACAGTGAAGAAAATCACATTTGGAGAAAAAATTAAAAATAAAACAAGGAAGCTTTATCAGTTTTAACAAGTTGTCAAATTTTGCCATTAAGAAAATACCTATACACAAATTAAAAGTATTTTTTTTTCCGAATTAAAATGCAAAAATTAAAAAAAAAAATTGTAACAGAATCAATTAAGTTTGTGGTTATATTTTTTTAAACAGCTACATAAACAACAAAATTCATACTCAATTGACTTCATGTTTAAGCTCACCAACGTTTTTTATAAATAAATATAAAGAAAATTTATTGGTTCCAACAGGTACTGAGATCAAATAATTCTTCAATGATAGAGAACTCTGAAATTATTGAAATCATAAGAATTTTTTATGAAAGTAATCCTTAATGCTGTAAAGTTATTCACTTTACACTATTTAGTGAAATATTGACTAATTAATATTTCACTAAAATATCTTTTATTATAAGTAAAACGTTTGGTTTAGAAATAATTCAAAATGTTTGTGAACATTTGGAAAAAAGTTGATAATGAACTGAACCTTAACTTAGAATAACATTCAATTGAGTAAATACATTCAAGAAAAATAACAAATGTAAGCTAACCTCAGTACCAGATTGTGAAGTTCCTGAGGATTCAAAATGGCTGCTGTTAGTTTTATTAACTGGAGAACCTTCCTTGATTTCTTCAGGATCACGAGACACCCATATACAGTATAAGAATTTCCCAGTGTCCAAAATAACTTTTTTTACACAATATTCAATAGCTAAAAGAACATACAACAATTGAATAATAAGAAAAAGTGAGTAGACACATGAAATGAAGTTAATTAAATGATTAAAAAAAGTGTGTATAAAAAAAATTATGGTAAGTTTTATTAATTAAAAGTAATAAAATAGAGTTAAGCTCTTTATGGTGCCAACTGCAATCGAGATGGTACCAAAATGCAACATTCCCATTCCAGAAGCTGTTTCCCAGTTTTAGCCTTAGAGTTCGCTTCTTTCAGAAATTGTTTAAATATTAGTTTATTTTCTTTTCAAAATGGTCAACCACTTTAACGAACCCAATGTAGTACAGGATCTGTTACTTATTTTTGTTTGGTATAAAGCTTACCACAAAATTTTATTCAGCAATATTATTAATATCAGCATATTGAAACAAAATAACATATACCTGTTATGTTCGACTTTTAATAAAAAAATATTTTTGTGATAAGAACTGTAGTATGAGTGTTTTTTTGCAACATAAGGTACATACATATTATTTCGTCCCTCATTTTCACCAACTCCATGCCTAAGTCATTTTGGTGTCTTTCAAACTTATTTTACGAAGTAATTGGTTATAAAATATTTAGAAAATACAAAGATAACTTATTGCAAAAAATGAGATATTTAATTTGAACTATTTCTAAGTTTGTTTTCAGATTTGGCATATACTAACCCAAACTAATTATTTCAAATATTGTGATAAAATTATGTAGTAATCCAATTTGGATTAAATCAAATGAAAAAAAATGTTTTACTAACAATGAAAGTAAGAAAAAACGTTAGTTAAAAATCAGGCTGAAGTTATTTAAATCAGTTAATGAAAAATTATCATTTTTAATCAAATAAGATTATGAAAATAGATTTAAAAAATCATTAAATTAAAAAAAAAGCTTAACTTGTTTCCTTAAACGGATAATGTCATTTAGCAGTTTACAAAGTCTAATTTATTTTCAACAACATAAAACATTACCTAAATCTGTGCCTTCCTTATGCCTGCCAATGCCTATATACACACCATCTGGAATACTTTGGTTAGAGAGATCATGTGAAGATTTAGAGTTTTGACTGTTATGTATTGGAGTCGAAACTTTCATGCTGAATGCTCTAGAATTAACACAATCGGAAGAATGCTTTTCCAAAGCATGTGTATTCTCATATTTGCAGTCACAGGGAAAAGGCGAATGTATTTTTTTATCATCAAAAGAAACATCTTTTCTCAATTCACTTTCTGAACATACATCATCCTCGCTGTCATATGATTCACTCTCACTCTCAGAGTGTCCGCTTTTTGAATCATCAGATTCACTATCAAAACTATCACCTTCTTCCTCTCTATCACTGCAAACAGCCTTTGTCAGCACTATCGAACAGTCCGGACTATCCTTACCATCTGAAAATTCTAAAACATTAGCATTTATATCAGATTCTGCAAAACTATTTGTGCCAGAGTGAATAGTGTCTTGAGATTCGCTGCAAGACATTTGCCTTGAACTATTGCCATGAGATGATGTAGATTGCTCTTCATTTTTAACCATATCACAGTTAGCGCTATCCTCAAATGTAGAATGAAGGGAGGATTGTTTGAAGTTTTTATCTGGAGAGTCTTCATTATTTGAAGAATGATCAGTAGATGATAAATTTGATGAACCCACAGGCAGTTTTATATTATCACTGTCTTGGAAGTCTTCAAAGTTTAAGGAATGTCCTGAAGATAAACTGTTTCTTGATAGTGGGCTAAACGCAAGGTCTATATCTTCATCATTAAGAGGTCTCCCTAAAGGATTAATAGGCCTAGTGAAGAAATGAGTAAAAAAAATTATTTTAAACAACAAAATATAATGATTATAAATTATAGTTCTTAATAAATTGTATAAAAAATTATTGCTGTAATTAAAATACACAGAAGATAATACTAAAAAATTTTTGAAATATATTAGAACAAAAGAAAAAGTAAGGAACCACCTTTCCAAACTAGTTATAAGAAATAAATTAAAAGTACAATAATATATGTAACATTAACAAAATTCAAATTAGCACAATTTCAAGATGTTTTACATGCTTTATTCTATAAAAAGTAACACTGATGTGTTCTTTTTTTTTTTTAAATATTTGCTGCAAACAACAAAATTTTATAACTCATGGTAATTAAGAGGAAGCAGACTTATTTTTAACAGATTATTACAAAAATTCTTAAAATTATAACAAAATGATTAAAAATAATTAGATTACAGCAATTATAACAGATAATTAAGAAAATAATTTTATTTAAGTTTAAAAATTTTTATAGACGGGGAGATAATTTGTCAGTTAGATATTCAATGAACAATAAATTAGTTTAGATAAGAATACATCAAAGAAAACAGAACTGGGCAGAACAAATCCTTCTTTAAAATTGTTAAAGACTAACTACATACTTAATATATTTTAAAAGTATTTAAAGTATTCAAATGAACATAAAACTAAATGGATATAACTCAAAATTGTTTATTTCTAGCAAATTCTTTTACACATAGCTAATGGAATTATAATTTAAAAGTTTAACCTCTGATCCACTTTCAGTCTCTAATTATTTATTAGTCTATTTTGAAAAATAATAATTTACACTTTGATTATTATTATTATTTATTTTTGTTAAAACCTCCATTATCAATAAAATCAGACTTTAACACGAATTACACCCTAAAAAATATATTTGTATAAATATACTTAATGATTTTTTTTTAAAAATTGGTATAAATCGATGATTTTCTCAAAAAATATAAGTAAATAAAAGTCACAGTTGATTTAAATCCAAAATTACAATTTAAAAAAAAGTGCTTTAAATCGTTATTTTTAACATGATTTAGATCAGGCCAACCCTATATTGCAGGATCACTTTAATTTACTAACAAGCAATTATACTTTTACTTTAATAAATGATTATATCAGTTTTCGGATTAAAAGGTTCGAATTATTTATAAGCAATCTCTATAGTGTAAATAATATGTAAACTAGCACTAATAAATCTAGTGTTAACCTGGGAGGATCTGGAACAAATGAGTCAGCAGTGGTGCGTCCGTCAGAATTACAGCATTTAGCATTTGAGTCATCATCATCATCAAAAGGAGGAAGAGCAACAGAATTTGTATCCAGGTATTCAATGTCATCATAGAATGTAGGTATCAACACAGAAATATCCTAAATTAACAAAAAGTCAAAAATTTAAGAATTATATGTATAAGCAATAAATTTTTATCGATTTATTATTAAGCTGTTGGGTATAACTGCGCTTTTCCACTTTAAATGACAAGTAAATATTATTTAATTTATCTAAATATTATTACAAATTTAAAACTTATTTCATCGATCTAAAACTTTTTAACAAAGATCTAAAACAAATATGCATAATTTACCTCTCCAACAAGTTTGCTTTGATAGTATCCAAACAACATCATAGAAAAAGTTGCATAATATTTAATTTAATTTAAATAATACTAGGAGACTTCGCCCCCTGTTCACTGGCGCTAGCCATCCCCCGGAACTGCTCTCGCAGTTCATTTCGGATGGCTTCGCAATCCAATGCTCGCTCATTGGATACGTTCTTAACGTCTAGCTTTTGTATACTTTTCTGAATACTGAAGTTCCGAAAACTTTTCACTGTAGAAAATTCTAAACCTGTACATTTCAATATTAATTTGAAATTGCAAACAGTTCACATATTTTGTTTAATCACATTATTGTAAATTTCAGTTGTTGAGAAAAGTAACTGTTGTAAGTTTTGCTTTAAAGTCTTTCCCACCAGAGGACTAAAGCCATGTATTGTAAAACAATATGAAATAGTAGTCTGCCATTGGACGCCGGATGTAAAGCATCGGCTTCGATGAAGATAATTTTGTATTTTTAATTCTCTGAAGGGCGNTTAACAAATAAAAATATCTAAAACAAATATGAATATTTTACCTTTCCAACAAGTTCGATTTGAGAGTATCCTAACAACATCATAGAAAAATTTGTATAATAATATTCAATTTATCTAAATATTATTACAAATTTAAAACTTATTGCATCGATCTAAAACTTTTTAACAAATAAAAATATCTAAAACAAATATGCATATTTTACCTCTCCAACAAGTTCGCTTTGAGCGTATCCAAACAACATCATAGAAAAATTTGTATTACAACTGTGAATAGATCCATTGGGTAAAATAGTGATCATTCCACTAATAGTGCTGAAAACTGAAACAGTTCCTTCATAAGCTGGTAATTCAGATCTAAGCTGATCACCTACAAAGAGTAAGAAAAAGGGAATAAAAACTTTAAAAAAAGTACGCTGCATATTAAAAAAATTTCAGAATCTCTAATAATATCTTTTGTACAAAAAATAAATAAATCATTAAAAAATGAATAGCAAAAGATAAAATAAGAACCCATAATTAAAATTTATGAAGTACCTGAGAAGGATTCGAGGCTTTCGTCTACTGAGCAATGCTTTATATTAATGTTGAGTGGAAATTTAAAGTTGTCCTTCGTTTTGCCTGTAGTACAAATTTTAAGGCAACTCTAAAAGGAAAAGTGTAATTAGAAAACTGATACATTACAACAGTAAATTAATATTGTTTTAATTTCACAATACATGAGATCTATACTTATACTTATGGGCTTTTGTATCTTAGGTTTCTTTACTGCATCAGTTTTATGGAGATTATGTAGCATAGCTTTTTGAATGGAGATTTAAAACAATAATATTAAAATATATTATTTTCTAGAAATTTTAAACTCTTAACTAGAAGGTAAGCCTAAACCAATTTCACATATAATTTAATTTCGGTCAACATTCTTGCTGCTAATCTAGTTTGTTTTTTGCCCTTTTAAGTATATTATAATTTTTTTTCTTCATAATTTTCTTTCATTGCCGGAGTTAATCTAATTCTTAAGAAAAAAAAGAGTTTCTTATTGTATTGGTTTGCATATTGAAGACAGTTTACTTTGTTTAAAACAAAATAAAAAAAGACCATAATGTTTTACCCCACACAAAATAAAAATATGAAGGAAAAATTAATAATTAATTTTTAAGAAAAGGGCTCACATTCACTTTGAATATTCTATTAGGTAAGTTTACTCACAGGAAAAAAGAAAAAAAAAATAGGTTACGGGCATTTGGTAAAAATATGTTGCCAGAAAATTTAAAGATGAGAACTGAATCATTACATTTTGTTGATAAAAGGAGGCCATTAAAAAAGTTTAAATGAAATCCCTTGCCAACAATAATTGCCTAAAAAAATGCCTAGGCATATATGTTCTCATTGATAAAGATCTTGGCAGCAATTTATTTAGAACATACAAATTCATATAACTCAAAACAAGCTATAATCTATAAAATAGAGGCTATAATAAAATACGGATAAGTATAACTGCTCAAAATAAAAATTATGACAAAAAAGATATTTTTTTTTGAAAAAAAAAAAACATACTTTTAATTTTAAGCATTAAAACATTTATACATGTGATTAAAATGTTCAATAATAAATTGTTCATTTTTACATAAAAAAATATTTCCAGTCATTATTTTTTAGTACAAAAATCTTTTATGCAGAATTATAAAATTTTCACAGAAAATGGGAAAATGAAATTAGAAGAACACATTTTGTTTTTGAAATCCTATTATCATATTAATATAAATTAGTTTCAGCTATTCTTGTGATTTTTCCTTCTTAAAAATACTTTTGAAATACAAAATTCTTTTTAAATTTACAGTATTCAAAGTAATATCTCACTTGGTAGAGTAGAATGTTATCCTATACTTGGAAGTTTAAGAAACAACTTTAAAAGTACTCATTCAGAATGCTCTTTAACTCTGATGAAAGAGTTTTCTTGATGACCTTGTTCTTTCGACAAATTTTGCGATTTCTCCAACCTTATACACATTTTTTATTCCATCCCAAAGTAACCCCTCGCTTGTTATAATGTAATTCTCTACTTGGAAGTTGAAATTTCTAAAACCACTTTTAATTTTCTCATTTGGAATGCTTATCTTGACATTGGAGTTCTTTTAATGACTTTCATCTTTAAATTTTTTTCCCAGAGGTTGAGGAGATGAATCCTTTACCGTGTTCATTGGGTAAATCCCTTGCTCGTTTTTTGTTTACAAAACTGTTTAAAGAGTTTCAAGAAAATTTAAGACACTGAGAAATTCAAAATTGAACAAAAGAGGATTTCAAAAGTTGTTTCTGTAACTCTCTTATACTGAATATAGAACTTCGAAGCTTATTTTCAATATTTTTAAAATGCAATATCAATGATCATTGGGCAATATTAATCCATAAAAATTAATGGTTTACATTCTAATATAGCCTTCATAAGCTCCTTTCTGTGTTAAGTTTTTTAAATTTATTTTATCATTTAGAAAATCAGCTTTTGTAGAAATCCATACCATTTTACTTATATACCAAGTTAATTTACACAATGATGACTGCAAATGACAGCATTCCTTTACAGTGTGTCATATTTCACTTCTCTATGCTTATCAGTTTTATCCATATTGTTGAACCTATCCTTAAGTAGCAGATTTTTCTCATACTCCCTGATATAGAAACAAGCCTCTCTTCTTCCCTTTCCCTAAGCTTGCTCTAAAACTAGTTAACCTGGTCCCCTGCTGAATTTTTGGAATTTTCGTATTTCTACGAATCACTCTTTCCTCCACACTTTACAAAGTGTATGTTTGAATCACTCTGTTCTCTACACTTTCTTCACAAATCACCCTTTAGCAATCAAGAGGGGAAACAATGTAATTCGTTTTACAGCTGCTCTCTACATATTCTTACATTATCGATTTGAGACAAGACTTTTATTTCAAAAGCTGTGAAAATGGAGAATTCTGCAAAGTGGAAAGCATTTTTTTGATAGAGGACAAAGTTAAAATTATCAAAGAAATTGAAAATAAAACCAATCAATCGGCACTGTGCAAGCATCATCTATATCTGAAGTAAAATGAGCAGAAAATATACTGACTATGTTTTTTTCTACAAAAAATGTGGATCTGAAAATCTTGAATTTTTCGCATATTGTAAATAAGAAAATTGATGAATTCTACTTTTCATAAAATGTAAAATCCTGACCAATTTTTATCTTAGTATTTTTCTCCTTAATTTTTGTTTTATTATCTATTTAGCTTGTTAATAATTTTATAAACAAATTATGTAAAAATCACAATTACTATTTTCAATAATTCAACTACCATACACTAAAAAATATTTTTTTTAAATTTTGGATATTATGAACCATTATTTATAGTGAACATATTACAGGGTCTGCAGACGGTTTCACCACAGCGTAGTTTGACAATATTTTTCTAAGCATTAAAATTTTGCCAAAGCAGAATTAATGTATCTTTCATAAAATTATTAATTTACATGAACAATCTGAGCAAGCTCTTATTACATTTATGAAAAGTTTTTATTACTCAATTTGTTGTTTACATAGAGTTTTGATGCATGACTTAAAGAGAGTGATTTGAATTTTCTAAAATAAAAAATACAACTCAAAAGTAACTGTCTTTAACTAGTTTATAGTAAAATATTTAAATGAATAATTGCTTTAATTGATATTTTTTCATAATGTACTTTTCTAGCTCATGCCATTATAAAGAGTTCAGTGCTATGAAAGAAATCTAATATTTTTTATGTAAATATACATTGTAAACAAATTTATTCAATAATTTTGCACATGTTTTTCGAATTAAAAAAAAAGAGCAACTTGGTTTGTATAGAATTATTTTGACAAACTTAAATTATTTTTTAAACTGCCAAAATTATAAGGAAATGAAATTCAAACAAAATTATTACAAGTTATTCAAAATTTAATTTATTTTTAATAATAACAGATTAGAGCATAAAATGCATATGAATGCACCTGTAATGGAAAAATCCTTACTTCTGAAATAACACCTTCTTGCTGATTTTCCCATTCTAACTCCAGAGAAGGAATAAACTCTTTAATATTTGAATTAAGTACTTGATCAGAAGTTTCATAACCATACAAATTAGCAAAGCTTACATCACAATCAAATATTGTGCCCTATAAAAAATAAAACAAGATAAATAAAAGAAAAAAACCATCTAAACAAAAATACTGTATGAAACAGACAAATCATTATCTCTATTTTTAATTTGTCTAAAGTGGAGTATTAACCCACTGGTGGTTTAGCAAATGGGCGAAATTGGGAAAATGTTTCTCCCCAATACACCAGTTTTCAATCTAATAACGCGGGAAAACCGGTTTTGGTGTGCGGAGAAGACTGCTGGTTAAAATACTACTTTTTACATGCCGAACCGTCAGTGGGTTAAGAGTATTTTTCAATCAAAATATGAGTCTAACAAAGTTAACCAACACTTGAGTTTTCGTAAAGCAGGGTTTTTGTAAAGAGAGCATTTGAAACAAAATGCTAACGGACACAGAATTTTTTTTTTTTTNATTTAATTTTTTTTTTTTTTTTTTTTTTTTTTTTTTTTGCCAAAGCATTTTACAAAATTTTATTCAAATAATAATTTTAAAAAAAAGACAAGAAAACTATGAAGAGTATGTCAGATTGCATTTTTCTTGGCATAAATATGCTGAATCTATTGTTATTTTATAAATTAATAGAACATACTAAATGATACAAACTGATTTTTAATTACAAACTTGCATGCATCTTCAACATGCACCTATCTTTATGATTCTGGCATGAAGAGTAATTTTTTTCAAGTGAAAATTTTTTTCTCCCTAATATGCTTTAAAAAAACACACCTACATTGTTAAAACAAAGGAGATATTTAGTAAAAAAAATTATAATATATTTCTGAAATCAAATTTGTAGGATAAAATGTCTGGTGGCAATTCTAGAATTTGTAAATATCTAAACAATTTTATACTTGCAAAGATAGAACGAACTAGATTAATAAGATATAGCATCAAAACCATAGCTTGATTAGCCACTTGCTTAAAAAATTTTATGATTCATATACATTAATCTTGATTTTTGCAAAAAAATTAAACTATTCAGTTTTATATGAAATCAGATTTTGGGAGTGATTTTTTTTAAATTCACTTTTGTAAGAATTTAGGCATGATCAGTTGGATTTTTCATTTCTGATGAAAATACCAAGATAAGTTATGCTGCACCTAACACTTAGTCAATATTTAAAGTACAAGTGAAATTTTTGGGGAGTATCCTTTTTCTATAAGATTTCAAGAAGTATCGTTCATGATTCATAAACAGAATTTCATCCAGGCTTTGAAAAAAATTTATTATTTTATTTAATTATTATTATTTTATTTTATTATTATCTTATTTAATTTTTATTATTATCAGATGACATGCAACTTTAATATTAATTGACATGCAATTTAAATGTAATAAAATCTTGTAATAATAATCTTTATAATAATCTTGTAATAATATATCTTATAATAATCTTGTAATAATCTTTAATGTAAATCAATAAATATAAAACAAATTTTAAAAATAATAAATGTAATTGAAGTATTTAAGTAAAACTTTAAAAATACCTAAAATCTTCAGAAATATTTTTTAAAATATGCATAAAATAAAACAATAAACCAATTTAAATGTCACATTATAAAATTAACTACTTGTAAAATGAATTTTTATTTAATTTAAGATAGTGCATAGATGCAATATAAGCACCTGACACATGATTAAGAGAATAAAAAGGCAATTTAAATTTGACTGATTTGATTATTTTCAAACCCTGATTTAATCTTCAAACTAATGGATTAAAAGGGCTTCTTTCTACCCTTCTTTAAATAAACATAAGTTCAAGTTTACAATCCAGTACAGTTGCTTTTGAAGCACTGTAATGTCATACCATCACAGAACTAGATGAAAAAACGCTACAAAACACTGCATTTTTAAGGGTGCCTAAGTAGGCTGCAAAAGGTTGCTTATTATTATTTTTAGTCTTAATCAAGCTATCTTACCGTTAAATCAAATTTAACAGTTCCCATTAGTCGCTCAACAGGCTCCATAATTACCAGACATCTAAACTCAGAAGCTGTAGATATTTGTCTAGCCCAGACAGAGACAGGCACAGTTTCCTTGATGTTTGTTACTAAATTCATCTATAAATATAAATGGACATTATTCAGTTATAACAAAAAATAAACAGGGTTGGAAAAACAAAACAATTTTTTTTTTTAATTCAGAGCAATCTTACATATTTTTGTGGGGAGAAGAAAAAAAACCCAAAATGTATATTCAATTCTTGGAACAAAATTTTATAATAGAATGTACTTCATTTCAAAATATTTATACAGATTTTATTTTAAAATATAAAAAGTAAAAATCTAAAACATTTAATATTTAATTGTAAATTAATTGAATGTTATCATAAGTTTACTGTAATAAGTAATTGCATGAGTACTAATAAAATAATAAAAAATCATTTAATAAAACAATCTAAAAATTGCAGGTTGTATTAGTAATAAACACACAAAGCTTTAAAAAAGAGATAGAGAGAAAAAAAAGGACTAAATTATAGAAATTGTTTCTTTTTAGATAATTTTTGTTGAGCTAATTGTTGATAAAAAAAAATTGGGATATACTAAATGCTAAGTAATAATTTATACCAATTTAAAACATACAAATTAAAATAAAGTATGTTTATATCAATCTTAGTCTTGAACCTTTCACTTTGTCCATTATTGAAATATAATCTGGATGCAAGTGAGAAAAAGCTATGTAAAACCATTATGATTAAAATAAGATTGATTGTGATCTTTCTTTAAAATTTTTAAAATTGCTTTTAATCTTTAAGAAAAACAATAATGAGTAACAAGGGAGAAAACTGGTTTTCTTGCAGCGAAATGAAAATACTACAGCAACAGACTAAAATGTAAAGATTTGCATTTAAAACATTTAAGAGGAAAATTTTTTTTTAGTTGCATATGATACCTTATAAATCTGAAACACCCTTTTACTTACTTAAAAAGAAAGTTATTTGTACTTTTAAGTCACTACTTGCTTTTCATAGACAAAAATTACTTTATTTATTACTTATTTTTAAATCATAACAATTTATATAAATTTTTTAGACCTGCTGTAAGAAGGAGAAATGTTTTAGCAAAATATATAGTGACATTTACCTATCTTGTATTCTTATATAGTAATTCAAAATATATGCAAGCACATTACCACTTTTCCAGAAAAAAGAACTATTTCCCCATTTGGCTTCAAGTCTGCTTCACTAAATAAGTTTTGGTCATCTGAAGAAAGTAAAAAATCCTTAAGTTTGAAAGCGTTTATTTCATCTAAACCAAGTAAAGTAAAGGCTCTATGATTAGCAGTCAAGATCTGGAAAGAAAAAAAAATGGGAATCTTACAAATAAATCAAGAACATTAAAATAAGTTGTGTCATTGTGCATATAGTGTTTCGGGTGCAAAAACTTATTTTGCAGTTGCATATTTCAACACAAAAGTAGATGGTGATCAAAAATGTTTCTTAAAACTTTTATTGGAATATCTGCACATTAAAGCCAGTCACATTCAAATTAAGCACAAAGACAATCTCTTTTTTTTTCTTATCAAGTATGTCAAGTACCTTATGTATTGACACCATATTAAATAAGAAAAACAAATAAGCACAAGTATAAAGAAAGAAAAAAACCTTGAAATTGAATTTAGTAAAATGCAGTATTTGGATGAAAGAAATTAGAATAATCAAAGTTCTAGGGCAGTGATTCTCAACCTTTTTTTGTTGCGGCACACTTTTAACGATTTCGAAATTTGACGGCACACAATGAAAAAAATTAGATTAAAAGTTGTTTAATTACCTATAAAACACTGGGTTAAATAGTTTGTGATAATAATTTTGAATGTGAAATAAAATAATACGTACTACAAAAGCACATTTATTAAGGGATTAATTATTTCTTTCGACCAATTTTTTTTAGTTAGTAACAGTTATTTATTTTTTTGCCAGTTATTAATTGTTAGTTTGTTTTCTATAGTTATTAACTGTTAGTTTTTTTAACATTAACTGCAACTTTTTTGTGATTTCTTGTTAACAAGTTTTTTTGCTAATTTTTAATTGTTAGTTAATTTTTGTTAGTTATCCTCTGTTAATTTGTTTCTTATATATTTGTTTTTTTTTTTTTAGTTATCCTTTGTTAATTTGTTTATTAATTGCATAGCTTACTTTAATGATTAGCTCTTACAACATTTTTTAAAATTGTGTGTCATATACAATTTAAACACTTCCATCTTATTTTAAGATTGTCAGAAAAAAGACAATCGCCGACAAAGTTGTTCACGCGATTAAAGGCATGGAAAAATTATAAAAAGTATATATATATATATACACTTTTATTTAATTCAAACTTTACTCATAATAAAAAAAAGTATTATAATTTTTATGTTATCATTTCTAATATTTAGCGGCACATTTTAAGAATTTGGTGGCACAAAAGTGCCGCGGCACAGTGGTTGAGAATCACTGTTCTAGTGCATTTACTTAGTTAATTTTTTACATTTTTCATGCCTGAGATAAAAAACTTCTGAGCAGATAAAATTACAAATTATATGTTTTGATTCAATCAAGATTGGTTTTTTAAAGAAAAGTTATTAAGTAATTAAGAAACGATTTAAAAGGCAATCACAATTTTTATGACTATTAGAAATAATGATCAAAGGTTTGTTATTAAAAACTTCAGAGGGCTCGTTTTTCTTATTTTCAAATTTGAAAATTTTTTTCTAGGATAATTAAGTTTTCTGTTTCTCTCTTTATGTATATATATGTATCAGGAGTCTGTCTAGGTTTTTCTGAGAGGTACCTATTTTGTGAAAATTTAGACATAATTTGCGAAAAATTAAAAATTATATAAAAAAATCAACACAAAAATGTGGATTTATCGTTTTTTAGGGGATACAAAAATAAAATTTTAAGAAAAAGTTTTTTGTGAAACTACCGTTTTTCCTAAAGTTGAATTTGTCAAGGTACCGCTAAACGGTAGTAAATTTGGCCTGGACAGACCCCTGTATATATATATATTGAACTGTTGACTAGATTGCTATAACTTTATAAATAATGAATAGATTAAAACAATATTTTTGGAGCAATTTAAAATTATTATGTAAATTTACAAAATTATTTACGTAAAATTTAAAAAAAATTGCTTAAACCTGCACAATATAAGAATTTGAGGTAGCTTTTTTATGCTGCGCATGCGTGAAGAAAATATTTTTCTTAATTTTGTAGTGAATCATATTTGGTAACCAAAGAAAAAAGGTTGATTTAGATAGATTTAGGTCAGTAGTTTTGAACTTACCTAAGTTTTGTTTTACCTAAGAAGATTTTGTACTTTTTGAAAGAAAGTTCAAAACGATCTAGAGTTTTCCTAAAATTTCCTTTTGTACTATTAAAACAAGATTTATTAAAAATGAGACCGGCATTGTTTGGGATCCTCCATAAAAGTATGTTTTCTTTTGCATGTTTCCTTTCCTCATACCATTACATTTTGGATTTCTTACAATTATTGTATTAAATTTTGTTTTATGAAACAAAAACAAAAAAATTGTGGAAAAATCCTGATCCTTTTAAGCTTTCTTTTAAAAAGTACAAACACTACTTACAAAATTGCTTGAAACTTTTTAAATTTTTAAGATATTCAAATCAAACTTTTTTCATTAGTCGCCAAATATGATTCACTACAAAATTAAAAAGGAAAAAAAAATTTGTTTTAATTTTTTCTCCACATGCACAGTATAAAAGAACTATTTTAAATAATTATATTTCACACAGTTTGCAAGGAATTTTTCTTTAAATTTGAACGAAATAATTTTGTAGTTAATTTTAAATTGCAAAAAAATATTGTTTCAAATTATTTATTATTCATAAATATATAGCAAAAAAAAAAGGGCAAAAGAAATGTATATATGAAGCCAAAAAATGCATACAGCAAAAAAAAAAATTAAGGTACAAAAAATTTGTTTCTTATTAAAATGTCGATATCTCCATAAACATTTACTCTAAGCATTAGCAACTACATTACAAATAGCAACTTAAGTAATTAATGCAAGTTACAAGCTTATTACTTATCTGGCACAAGGTGTTTAAAAATACTTGTTTTCTTTTGTAATTTATTGTCAGTCTCCCAAACCTTTAAATCTTATTGCTATGTATGAAAAATCGCAAGAACTAAACATATTGAAAGTTATAAATTAATCCTTTAAGTATTTCTTTAGAAACTTAAAAAAATGTTAAAAACTCAAACTGCCTTATCCATTACTGTAGGGTAGGGTAGTGCGTATGTATATACACACACACATATATTACTACATATGAATATAAAATTCTAAAAACATCCTCTTTTTCTTTTTTAGTTTTAGATTTTTAACTTTTATTTTAAACTTTAAATTAAAATTTGCATCTAATTTCTCAAAACGATTATATTTTAATAAATTATATGTTACATGTGAATTTAGAAAAGGTTTAAATTTTCAAAGAAGAGAATTTTTGTCGCAACTTTCAGTCGGTTTATATAAATTTTACAATACCTGTGTGGTACGGGCATCAATCGTTAAAACTGCTTTACTCGGGTTATGAAGAAATGAATGTAAATTCTTCTTTAAAGACACAGATGTGTTCAATATATATTTATATAGCATCCAACTACCATCAAAGTGTTTATTTTTAAGTGTGTCACTTTCATGCTGACGATATTTTGGGATAGAAAAGCTGATACTGTTTATATCATCACCTGGAAAAAAAATAAAAAAAATTATTAAGCAAAACAATAGGCTAAGTTCAAATTCTTCATATTAGAAATATAAAAATCCCTTTAACAATGTACTCAAATTCATATCCAACACTATCAAAATGATCCAAACTTATAAGAACATACATAACATCTGAACATCTGCATAGTTGAATTTCAGAATAAAAAATCATGCAAATAAGATGCTTAGTGCTAAATGTGAAATACTTAAAAGTTAATGTCACAAGAGAAAAATATGTAAAATATTAATAATAAAAAATTAGTATTACACTTAAGGGTTGACAAGGATAAAAAATAATTACATAAATTTCGGCAGATAAAAATTATTGTTAGAGGTCAATCACACTTGATGCTGAATCCAAAAGTAAATAAACAATGAAATCACTGTTGTGAGTTACTAATAATAGCATAATTATAATACATTTTATTTTTGTTACAACTGCAAAAAATAAACTAGTAAAGCACAAAAATAAATCAGCTAATAATAGGCATTGATCACTCATCGTTTTAACAAGGTTCTTGGCTAGAGATTTATTTGCATTNAACTACGAAAATCGGATCTATCTGGAGCGCGGGTAAAAAATTCGGAAAATCTTATCTGCTGCGTGTAAAAGGAGAGAAAATAGCTAAAATAGGCAAAAATGAGAAAGGATTGGTAGCTATGTAGTTTGAATTTTCTGTTTCTCTTTGAAAATCGGTGAATTTTCTGAAAAAGCGAAATACTTATATAAAAAAAGTGAAATTTTTAGAAAATCTGAATTTTTGATAAAAAAGCTGAAATTTAAGAGATAAAAGTGAAAAAAGCGGAAATCCGCTAAAAAGCGGAAAAATCTCATCCCTGAACAAGGTTCTTGGCTGGAGATTTATTTGCATTAATTATATATTGCATAGTTTATACAACATTCACAATATTACTTTTAATCATAAAAATAATCTGTAATAATTTTTTTTTAAATTTAATAAGAGTAAAACCAGTTTGTTTTGCAGAAAAATATCCAGGTTCAACTCTGATTAAAATTTGGGGTCAACAGTTAAATTTTCTGAATAATTGAAATATAATAAATAAAATCTCTTAATAATTTAATATTGTTTTGTTTAAAACTAAATTGGATTCAACATAAATCATACAATCATTTAGTAAAGTAAACAGCAAGAACAGATAGTTAAATATAAAGAATAACAAATAATTGTGCAGCAAAAATATTGCAGAATTCATTTATTTAAACATTTTATTTCTTTTTTCAAAATATTACCTTTTTTATGAATATCAAACTATTGTCCACTTAAAAAAAGTTAATTTAAATAATATTTCATTTTATTATCACAGAATCACTATTCAGCTTCAGATTGTAAGAACAAAAATTGACTATTTATAAGTATTGAGTGCTATGTATGAGTGCCCAAAAAACAGCCAACATCAAGTGTCAGATATAATAGAAAATAACTTCAATTTGCAAATTTAGAATAATTAATACTCAATCTAGCAATAGAAATGTAACTATAAAAGAATAATTTTGTATTTTGTCATTGTAAACAGTGGCCCCCATCCCTCCCCCAAAAAAAATTTGCTAACTTCCCCCTTTCATGTTAGCTTGTTCGAAATAGTGCTACTTTACTTGCATTGCCAGTTGCTTCTTTTATTTATGTACCTAAAAAAAAATTATCTCGTCTAAATTCCCCCCAAACTATTCGTTTTATTTAGTGTAAATACCCCCCCCCAAGCTTTAAGTGGGCGCATCGTGCGCCCACCTTCCCCCTTAATGGGGGCCCCTGATTGCAAACAAAAATTTTTTTTTATAATTTCAGTCAAATAAAAAACGTTATATTAAAAAAAAAACTATATCGTCAAAAAAATTTTAAAAACAACAACAAAAAACATTCACTGTCAGATGGTTATTTTTCAGAAATTTCATTAATGCCTTTCATGGTTTCAGTCATATAAAAAGCTAAATACCAAAACAAAAGATGTCATAATATATTTCCAAAACTTATTGAAAGCAATTCAAAAAAGGTCAGTCAGACAGCAATTCATCAGAAATTTTAAAATTGCTGGTAGATTTGAAGAAGAAAATTGGTTTGATTAGACCTAAACATGTAAAAACTAACAATGCCACACACACACAAAAAAAAGGCAAAATATATAAATTAAATATATTTCTTCAAATGTGAAAAATTCTATAGCTCAACATTAAAAAATAAAAAAAATAAATAAATCCATTTTGAACTACAAATCAAACAATGTTTATTCAACATAATGTATAAAAACAATTGCATTGTGGAAATATACAATTTAAAAGTTAAATTTTAGGCAAGGCAAAGTGGTTTAGGCAAACCAGTTTTAGGCAAAGGAAGTATTGAAGGTTCAGGAAGGAGGTACAATTTCTTGACCAATAGCATCATGACAGTGACAACATTGCATACAGCCTTTTTCTCTCAGATTTGCTAATTAACAGTGACTAGAGGTAAGCGTTTTCGACGAATTTTTGAATTTTAAAATGGCTTACCCCCGAAAGTTTTGCTTCAGGTTCCTGAATAAGATGCAATTTTTCAGTTAAACAATTTTTAAATATTCCCAGTCGTGTTAAAATTTTGACTTTTCCAAGTTTTTCATTTAAAATTTTACATTTTTGCTGAACACAGCATTAAAACTTCTGGCTGAAATTTTCATTGAGTTTTAAAACCCTGAATTTGATATTAAATAATGGACACACTCATATAATTTTTTATACCCCTCACCAGTTTTGAAAACCAGAATTCTAGTTTTTAATTTAAAGGCAAAGTACTCCATTTCAGCAGGATAGTCAGTGTTTCAAAGCTAAAAGCGACTTGTCCACCCACCAAAGGATTTTAAATCTTTTTATTTTGAATTTGTGCAGAATAAAACACTATTTACCTAATTAACTATAAGCTATAATTATAAATTTTAATTATGATTTGATTTTAAAGCTGTTTTTATTTTTTAAACTTTTTCCTTAAATGAATTTTTGGAATTTAATGAAGCAACAATCAATGCAATTGCACCATACGAAGAAATTCAAAACTTCAATTTTAGAAACATTTAGGAAAGAAATCATGGCTAGTAAAGAAAAAATAATGGCTATCAATTTTGAAGAAAAAAAATTTATGGCTTCTACTTTCTGGGACAGACAAAGGCATTCTTCTGGTTGACTTCATGCTGCCCTGCACCACAATTAATGCAAGTGCATATTTCACAATTTTAAGACTTCTCAGAAAGGTTATTCAAAACAAATAGAATTAAAAGAGAATATATAATATTCATATAATTAAAAATAATAATATAATTAAAAATGATATAACTAAAAATGAGCATAAAAAATTCAGGCAATAAATCAAAACAAGGTAAAATGGCTCAATTTACAAAATATAATATTTTTATTTTGTGTTTGTAAATTTTCAAACATGTATATTGATTTAGTAGATTTTATTATATAAGAAAATGTATAGAGCACATCAGTTTTTATGTTATTTCATGAATTTAAAATTTATCGAAAATGCAAAATTAAGACAATCTAATACGGATACTCATTTATCTGAAGATTATTTTTGGGGATAAATTCCAGGTCTTTACTTCATTACGTGATAGTCATGTATGACATTGTCACCGAACAATGGACAAAAACTTCAAATAATCAAATAGACAAGATAGAATTTGTGTGGGCAATTTTTAATAATTACTAAAAGCAGTTACGATTACAGTCCCACAAAATGTAGTTAATAATATACAGCATATATCTTTTCAGCAGTTGCCACTTTAAATATATTAAGAATGCATTACAACAACTTGTCTATAAGTTTATCTATAAATCATCTGTAAATGTTGCCCGTGTCAAGGTAAAGAATCTTTTTTTTTCTGAGTGCAGAGATAGACTATGTAAAAAAGGATGAAAATTAGTATAGTAGATTTCAGCAATTTTAAATCAGTAATAGCAGTTCCACAAGAAATTTAGAGCACAGTATCATTTCAGCAGTTGCCACCTTAAATGTATACAAAATGTATTAAAATAACTTGCCTCTAAACTTGTCTATAGAACATCTGTGAACATTGCCCATATCAAAGCATTGATTCCCATTTTCTGGGGCTGTGCGTACACCAGGAAAAGATTGATTATGTAAAAAAGAATCAGTTGGATGAGGCGAAAGGCCAAATTCTTTTGCTCTTTGATGACGGATGCTTTCTGCTTCCAAAGGAGAATGATAATAAGCTTTGGTTAGCCTACTACAAGATTTTGTGCTTGGCTCTAATACTCTACATTGCAAAGGTGCCTAAAATAATATGGAGTATTAAAATATTGGCTAACAAAGAAGGTACCCACAGTGCCACTTACAATTCACATACATTTATTTATAAATATACTGAGCACTTTTAAGCATAAGATAATGACGCGGGAAGACAATTGAATCAACTTCGTAATATTGAGATGGTTGAATTTTAATTTCTTTTACAAGCATTACATAACTGTTACAAACATTTCAAAATAAAAACTAGGAAAATTTTTTTGCAGATGAATTACAGAGCAAAATAATAACACTCAGATAAGAAAATTTATTAAATAAAATAAAGTCTCTAGGGCACATTTTAAACAAACATTAAAAACAATGCAAAGATTCTTATTTTATTAAGTATAAATCGTGAAAGCTTTTTTTTTATTGAAACATACAAACAACTTTTAAAATATTTTTATAGAAATTTCTGTAGAATCATTTGGAAAAAAAAAAATTCTCCTCTTAATTTTTAATGGAATTTTTATATTTTTGACGAAAATTAGACTTTTCTTTTTCTATTTTATAACCAACATTGAACATTTAACAGAATCTGAATCATCATCATCAGTCTTCAATCAACTATCATTGATCCTTGTAATTTTGAACCCAACTTATAAGACAATGGAACTTCTTGATCAAGCACTGGAACAAACAAGCCTTCGTGTTGAACTTTCGGATGGAACTAACCCATAATTGCGTTATATGGAGATGAAAACCTCAAAAACCACCCACCATTAATTCAACAGCAATGGAATTCTAACACATGATCTATCAACCACTGAGGATATTTTACGTCTGTACTGTGATTGGTGCGAGCCGGGAGCAGAATTCATGTTAGCCAGCCACAACTGGGATCTGAACATAAACCACCACATTGGGAGGCGAACGTTCTATCCTCTGAGCCACCGCAGCTTAAAAATGAGGTGTACTCCGAAAAATAAGAGGACTCACAGCAACAATATGGTATGGTAACTTTAAAGCAATGTGTATTCAAGTAAAACAATTTACAGCTATAAAAATTTAATAGAACAAAAAAATTATAAATATGTGACAAAATTTAGTTAAACATACTGACTCTTTAATCAACTTGTTAAAATTATTTGGAGTGACAAAATACTTTTAATGTAAAAAATCTCCTTCCACACGAATCTTGCCTCCACAAATTTATGAATTCTGAAGGATCAAAATTTAAAATGGAAACATTGGATGATGATTACTGAAAATTTTCTTTATTTGTCAGAAAGATTGAGGGTGACTAAGATATTTTTAATTATTGAGGAGTACATACACCCACCCCCACCAACCCATAATCATTGTCTTAGGCTAGAAAGTATTTATATATATAAAAAAATCATTATGATTGGGAAAACAGAACAGTGGATACCTTCCATGTAAGATCTAATCATGCAAACAAAAAATGTGTTATGATGCTCACTAAATTCTAATGTGCAATCTATTACCACTAGAAGCAATTACGACTAACACTAATAAAAAATTGAAAAAGTATAAAGAATCAAAGGAAAACTAACTTGAAGGAGAAGTAATATACAAAAATTATTTTTTTAGTGATCAGAAACTTTTGAATGCATTTTACAGACCTAGTCCACTTGAAACAGCAACATTTTTTTACATTTGTAAACTTTAACCCAATCACATTTTCAAACAGATTGAAATGTTTTAAACACTGCATTACAATGCTGTATTAAAAAATAAAATATCATAAACATTCAAAACTTTGTCTATGAAATTCCTTATTAAAAAAAAAACAAGGTTCCATCTAAAATTCCGTAATATATATTTTTGGTACAAAATTATGCTTTACTTTTTTAATAGAATCAAGAACACACTTTTTAATAATTGCATGTCATTTTTTAGCTGTTTTATGAACCCCCCCCCTTCTTTTCAAATTTTCACATGTAGGTACTCGTATTTAACATATGTAAATAAAATCATTGTTTTTTTTTTCTTTCTGTTTCATTGATTTAAAAAGAGTAAATAAACGCTTAGTATTTAAAAAAAAAAAGAAAAAAGAAACACTTTCATAAATTATAAAATTTGTAACTCAAAGAAATTTTAATAAAGCAGCTGACACAATCGCACTTCAGAACGACTTTACATAAATAAGTACGGGGAAACAAAGAACAATAAAAACAAAGTTGATAATTTTTCTATAATATGGAACAAACCTTTATCGTTATAACAACGAATTTGACAATTCCTTAATTCTTCAATACACTATAGAATTTGTAAGTGGTAAAAATTCGGAGTTTCGAAAATAAATAATAATGGTGACAAAAAAAGCACTCAGAATAACTTTACATAACTTAGTAGGAACGGGAAACGAAGAACAAAAACACTGAATTTTAAAACAAAGAACAAACCTTTAAAATGTACCAACAAATGTAACGATTCCTTAATTCCTCTTTTGAATACAACATTCCATATTGAACACCTGGAAGTTGATTCAACGGCACGACTCTAAGCAAAGCAGGAAAAACACGAGGCAGGGGGAAAACTACGCTTACGTTATGGCGATGAAGTTAGGCTTAAAAACGCGATCAATAAAACTACACCCATACTGAAAATTCTCCACGCAAGAACGAAGAGGGGAGTTCAATAGAAACGAATTCTAAAAAGACGCATTAAGACAATAGTATTTACCATGGAAACCTTTTCTGAGAAAAACCGACTACAATAAATAATCTGAAAATAACATTACTATATCAGATATTTTCTCCGAATACAGGGTTCAATGTCGCCGAAAAGGAAATAAATAGAAAACTCAGGTCTTAAAACAAACTTTTTTCAAGAATGTTTTTAGAAAAAAGAATTGATTAAATGCGCACGAACAAAATTTTATTATGGTTAAAATTCTATATCGATAAATGTATTTTTGCTTTAATTTAACAATCAGGTAAAATTAGCGTTCTTAAACTTTCCGTAGCTTGAAGTTAAAAAAACTACATATATATATACTACCAAAAATTTTAAAAATACTTTCTTTAGAGAGTAAAACAAAAAAAAGTAAATGGATCAAAACCAACATAAAAAGACGCTTGAATTATGAATGATTGTGAAATAAAACGAAAATATACTCATTATTTTATCCCGGTTTAATGTGCCACGCATAAAACTAAGAAAACAGAAAATACGCATTTTTTTAAATCCTACACTGAATAGAAAAAAAAAAAATCTGTATGTATACAAAAATACCGTTTTTTTTTAATAATTAAAAAAAAAAAACCATTTTTTGTCGCGATAAAATTTTTCCATGACAGTAAAGATTAACGCATATAAAAACTTAAAATATTTTTAATTACTTAATCCCTTCGCAGTTTAATTTTTATACATTAAATCTGAAATAATCGCAGTTTTAAACAACAAAAAACAGACCTGAAAATGCTGTTGATGCTATTGCGATTCGCAATAAATTACTTTTTTCAAAACTTTTACGCATTATTACCAAATTTTTATTAAATCGCTTTCGTGTTTTCGAAGGGTAGCATTGGTAGGTTTCGAAATTGAAATAATAAAATGCTGTTGCATTTTTTTTTAACTCCTATTGTTTTTTTATTGATACAAAATTTTGACCTATTTCAAACAAGCAAGACAACTCAATCAAACCTCTTTTTAAACTATGCGCTGATTTCAATTGTTTTCTGACCACTACAAGCATAATTTTTCGTTAACAGAAATACTACTTTCGGTTAATAATCAACTAAAATCCTGACTAACAAATAACCTGAATCTTCACTAGTGTTCTAGATCTGACGAAAATACAAATTTTTATAGTTTTCCGACCACTACAAGGTGAATTTATCAGTCATTGAAATTTATCGTAATTTGAAATTTCAACTATTTTCTACTCATACTCGAACTTTAAATATATCTTCACGATGGATAAAAGTTTCTGGCAGATATAAGCAAAAAATGATGTTTCAACCGTTTTTCAACTAGATAAAAATGCTCAAATTTCAACTGAAGCTCTGCGTCAGATTCCAATACGAGTTTCAATTGCTACCTAAATGGTGCAAGCAAAATTTATTACCATTATATCAAAGAAATAATCGTGAATCTAAAATTAAAAAAAATCGTCATTCGTCAGCGTTATTTGTATGTCTATTTCATTAGTTAAACTTAATTACATGAAAAGCAAAAATTTAACGATTGAACTGTGCAATGCTATGCACTATCAACAATAAATTCAATAACTCAAATTCGTGATTATAATAATAAACAAAAATTTAAAAAAATAAAATAAAAACAAGTTCTGCAATGTTTATGTTTACTCATAATTTTGAATATTAATAGGCATTTGATTCATAAAAGGTAGTTAAAAGATTTTTAATTAATTTAAAAACAGAGTACTGACTAAAAATAAACTCAACATTTAAGAATAATAAATAAATAAATAAACAGCAAACAGATTATATATGAGGTATTATGTATTAGTAACTTATTCAAATATTCAAGAAGCAATCTTTCACAAAATTCTATTTCAACAGGGATTTTTTTTTTTTTTTTGACAACTTACTTAATTTAAGGGAATTTTCTAAAATGTACAAAATTTTTTATTCAACCAGTAGAAGAGGAGAAACTGGCAAAATCTAGTTTACTGGAAAATCCAGTAGAGTCGGCAACTATGAATCTTATGCATATATTTCTTAATTACGAAGCTATAAATATTCATACGCTAAGTTGAACTAAAATTTAAAATCATCCAAAAAGATGTCTTCGTTAATTTAAAAAAAAAAAAAAACTAACTACGCTATTAAAATTCAGAGCAAAAAGTCTTTAATGCGCAATACAAAATTCCTGAAATTTACCCTTTCATATTTCTACAATATGTAATGAAGATAAAATAAAATATTAAAAAAAATATTTCAATTCGAATTCGTTAATTTTAAAATCAATAATATTATGAATATTACAAGTTACAAAATAAGCTTGTGAAAACAACAAATATCCTAAGAGTAAACTGTAAATTTAACTAATTAATT